TGTGCCATCACACCATAAAAATCACCTTCGGTCAAAAACTACACCTGCGTAGAGGTGGAATGTTGTACAGCACAAAGATGGAATGAACTAGTTGCGGACAGGATGGGAAAGGTGTTTTCCTTACTGCGCAGTTTCCAGCCCCCAGGTACCAGACCTTCCCCACTTAATCGCTGTTTTTTTTTCGTCGGATGAACTACAGAACCCGCACTATCTGCATGCCAATTTTGCATAATTAAAAATTATCGTAGTTGTTTAAGTACAAGAAAAAGAAGGGGTTTCAGGTTAAGGGGGCGATTAAGAAGGGGAAGGGGTAAATTCTTCCAAATTTGAATAAAATATTTGATTAATTTTGGCAGTTTTCTGCCAAAAACGTCTTATTTTGTTCCTCACAGGCCGAGTTTCGGGGTGGAGTTGACCTTCTGCTTATTCGCCTCACGCTCACCGTTGTCATGACAGCAGGTGGGTGGACGTCTGAAGCACTCATAATCAGCCATCTCCATTCATAAATGACATATCAAAAGAGGTAGAATTCTGCTCCTGATATGCCTTTTACCGACAGGAAGTGTTCCTTCCTCCTGGATGCCCTCACGCATTCACCCTCAACTTAGAGGCACGTTTACGACAACCAGCCTGTTCGAGAGACGAGGTGAGACCGCAAGTAGGTTAGAGGGATTTTATAATCTGTTAAGCGTTTCTTCCGTGTTTTTCTTGTAAGATTGTCAGTCTTGAATTTAGGGGGTTCTGGGCGCAAGCATATGGCGAATTTTTGTGGTTTAGTTGATTCATCCTATCGCCAAAATTCGCCCCAATTTCTTATCAATTTACTATCTACCGTCCCATGACTCACCGACGATGTGGATTATTACTTTACTCCGTAGTTTGCAGCCATCTTATCAACACAAAGTTTCTACTACATACTTGCCTTCAATATTTCGAGGGTAAAATGCATAATACCTACGCCCTGCTGCATAATTAACACATTCTAGCAGCGCCACATATGTGTGACATGTTTTCCCTAACTTCCTTTTCTTTCCATAATTACGAGTGGGGGATGATTGGCTTTAAAATGGCATGGTAAATGTAAAGATTTTTCAATCCGGTGGAAGAAAAATTAGTTTTCTCCAGAGTTGAGCTGCCTAATGTGGATATTTGTGGGGACTCTAAGGGTAGATTTTCCTCTAAGCTTCCTATTGGTACCAGGTGTTAAACCGTAGCTATTGATACCTTTTAAAGTTCTTCACCTTGTGCATTGAATCAGTGGGTCAAATAAAACGGGTTTTTGGCCACCCTATTTGGTGTCTTGAGGGGCAAGTCGAGATATTGGCATGGGACTTTAAACTCCTTGCATTCAAGCCCCAATTCCTTAATGGTCACGGTTTAGCACCTCAGATCGGGGCAGTGACTAACAAGTTCAAGTTTCCCTTATCTTCTTGTTTTTCCTTCGCAAATTTATCTCATTTCCTCTGTGTCACCTGTGGCCAATTCCCCTTGATCATTTAATTGAAGATATTTTCTATGGCATTAGGTGATTCCCGCAGCTACCAAATTGGTGCAATATTTGTACCTGAGGGCACTCGAAAGAATTGCAGGATCAGAAACAGCACTAGATGTCAAGAGTAAGCACCTAACCCTTGCTTCCTCTCTCTATCTGATTTCGTCTATTTAAGCTCACTCAGAACGCCCATCCGCTTGCTCCACTTGGCAGATCGTTTGACTGTGTAATGTCAAGCAAAGGAGGAATATAAGGTAAACAGGAAGGGAGATAAAATTTGGCGTGAAAATGAGGTGGTTATTATCATTCTTCCATCTGCAAGTGTAATCTGTGGTGTTTTCGAGAATAAGATCTTGCAGTGGGAAAGTGGAGTGAGGCGCTCGGTAGACCGCAGGTGGAGCACTTCCTCCACCCAGATGGTATCGAGTTGCATCACATCAAGCGGACAGATCTGAGCCACGGTGTGTAGTCGCAACATTAAGGGCATTTCTCATCACCAGTCCATAGGACAACTTTCTAGAACTTGTGTGGAAGGGGTGAACAACTGCAAATGGGTAATCGCTTAAACCCATTGTTCATCTACTGGTGCCTGTGAAGGAAGGGAGGAAGAGTGTGGTGTTTGGGTGAATGCGTTGGTTCTTATTTACTTTCATCAGCATCCACGACCTTCTCAGTCGTTACATCATCCACATCTTTGTGCGTGTTGGGTGACAATCGGATGTAATTCGCAGCTCTCCGCAGGTACAAGTTGTTACAACCAGATGGGTCTAAAATCCTACAAAGGAATTTTTCTCTACTCAAAAAATTCCTACCCATTTATTTATCTACACTTTGTTTGCACACTGGCATTAGTAAAGTATTTCATTATGAAATTCGAAAGCAGAATAAAATATGATGATTAAGACCGCAAGGACTTGGAAATCTCCTTTGAGCCTCGTCACCGGCTTTCCTTTTCCTCCCCATTTGCATTCTAGTTGCCGCTGTCGGTGCTATTAAAGGGATGATCACGCACTAATTTTATCCCAGGACAAAAGAACATTCGCCTTCCTTTTTTTCATTGACATTTTCCCTTTTTAAATGCCTTAGTCGCTACCACTTATCACCCCTTCCTGTTGTCCCTAAAAAAATTAAAAAGGTTGCATTTTCTCATTTGAAGATGAGGCGGAATGGTCTAACGTCTCCCTCTATATTTATTTTTAGAGGTAATTTGTAAATTAGTAAATAATTTGCCAACAAAATATCACTCTAATTTCTATCCTCACCCCTCCCGCCGCCCCCTTGCCCCTCTACCTTTCACAGGATTGGTCCACTCAGTGGTATGTTAGCACCCACGCACGCACGCACGCAATAATTTGCAAGCCCCGGGTTCATGCACGTCATGTCAGCAAAGCGCAAAAATTGGCCGTGGACAAAGGCTGAGCACAGAGAAAACGACATCATCAATGCACTTCATTGAGTGTATTTGCCTCCTCTTCAGTCTGTTCCCACTCGCCTGGAGTAAGGCCACTGAGAATGAGGGAATTGTGGAATTGCTTCAGGAGCTGCGCAAAGAACCTCCACCCGAACCGGTTTGGATGTTACATGAGGCGGGCAGCATCTTGGATGATACCTGGAATCCTACCGTGCAAGAAAGTGGTAAGTGAGAAACCTCTTTACCTTTTCCTAGCTAATTGGCTTACTTAATGATGAGTAGCGGTTGTCATGGCATCAAACCACAATATATATATGATGAGGCTAGAGGCATTCTTTTCCCATCAAATGACCACTTTAACCCTCATATCTAAGTTGCACCTTAAGACAAGGAGAGCTGTCATTCAGCTAATCCAAAAGGGATAAAATTGGTATCGTTTTTGCCTCCTCTTTGTCAAACCCATTCCCCATTCTGTTCGTAATCCCCAAAATGAGTAATTATTTAGTGTCGGAGATATGCCATCGTGGGGAGAATTTTATGACCTACTTTGAGGTGTCACCTGCTAATTTTCACACAACAGGCGGTTTATTTCCCTCCCCGCCCTTCATTCCCCCCCCCTCCCCCACGAAATTCAGGTGCTCACTTCTTTTTTTTATCTAAACAAAAAGCTAAATTATTCTCTCCTGAGGTAGAATAATCTTAGTGTCGCCATTATGGTACTATCCTAAACATTTTTTTGCCATATATTAAGAGGGGGAGAGTGAGAGGTAGAGTTGGGTGCTTTGTTAACCCTCCCTACAGACTCGATAACCCCCAAGGAGGGGGGAGTTGCCTCCAGAAGTCTCTAATTTACCACCTTTCTGTAAACACCTATTTATTCTAAAAGGCGCTCTTTGTCTTATATGTTGGTTAAAAATGGGCCATCGCAACTACCGCAAAAGGTGACCTCAATCGGGAGGAAAGGAAGTTCTTTTCTCTCTGTTTTTCTCCCTCCGAACGCCCAGCTGTTGCCTTAATTTTTATGGATTTACATTCTTTTGTTTGAAGTGGTGGTTTTTTGTCTTACCTCTGCCATTTTGCGGTTAAAATGAATTTTAAGCGAGGATAACTAAGCGGTTGTTTTCGAGTGGTTTGCTGGGTGTTTGTTCCTGCCTCACCGAACCACCGACACATAGATAGGCAGAGAAACATGAAGATAGGTCGGTTGAATGACCTAAAAGGGTGATAAGTTCTTCTAAAAGAGGCCACTTTGTCATCAGCTTACTTCAACAGTGAATTCAGTGGTCATTCAGTGTCCATTTTAGCAGGCTCCACTTTCCGCAGCGCCCCCTTGCCCGTGAAGCAAAGTTGTGACTCGACAAGAAAAGACTTTGTCCTCCAACAACAAATGATGAAATTGATTTCCTGACTACCTGGTGACACAAACCACGCATAAATTTTGTAGTCATTTCCACTTCAGAGTGGTGCTTCTTCTCCCGCGCAGCTCTTTAGGGGCAAACGGAAGGCGGCACCTGCTAGCCCCCGTCCCAGCCCACTCCTTAGGATCCCCCGCTCTTGTGGTCCACAGATAGGAGTTATAAAATTCTCCAAAATCAAGTATTTATGTACCATAAAAAGTACTAATCATTCCTTCTTTACTTTTTTTATTTTTTTGGTAATAAGACAGAGTTTTATCTCTTTGAAGGGGCTCATTCAAAGCTGATATCCCCTTTATGGTTCCATTTCAACGGAAGTGGAGGCTGACGATCCATGCAACCGCCAATACATGGAATACACCTTTAAAATTGAACTAAAGTATTCATTTGACGTCAGTCATGTTTATTACTTTGGCAAGAGAACCATAGAAACGGGTGTTTGCTATAGAAACGCCCTTACTTTAACCTTAACGATTTCATCAGATTGCATTACAAAACTCGCCCAAATGCCACAAGTTCAGCCTCGTGATTAGCGTCGCCCGCCAGTAGGTGATGACAAGTGCGCCCGCATTTATCACACCGTCGTGCTCCCATGACCAGCCACCGTGAAATTAGGGCAGCCCCGCTGTCTATGTCACGATTTATTGAGTCAGATAGGCTGTGAGAGAGGAGTAACCTTAGCCTAGGGGGACGAGGGTGGTGGTGGTGGTGGTTTTGGGGGCTGACCACTTCCCGCGGCTGCCTGATGAGTGGGTTTGATAAGACCCCGGCTTTCATGTAACTGCCTCAAGGGGAGGGCGAATGGAAGATGCTAATCTAAACGAGTCCATTAGAGAAGGTTGCACTAGATGGTGGCAGGTGATAGGCTAGACTTGTAAATCCTGCCAGGCGGATTCTTGAATGATACTCCCACATATAATTTACCATGGAAGGGATAAATTTATCCTAGACAAAAAGGATGCACATAAGTGGTAATGGGTGAAGTTTCTTGTCTGTAAGAGTGTAAAAATCGAACCATTGAATACTTGGTTCCATCTACCGATGACTTCAAGCACAGTGAGGTGGGGTGATGTAATGCTTGGCTTCAGTAATGTAAATCCCTCGACACTGTCTCAAGGTGGTGTCTTCTCCACCCTCAAGTCTTGATAGCAGCCATTCCTATGGATACGCACTCAGCATGTGGGAAGCCTGATCTGGAATGTTTGATTGACAGCACAACTTATCCTGAAATCTATCTGACGGATCAAATATTGGTAGTTCAGAGGAGTAATCACAGACTGAGTCTCCCTCCTTAGGGAAAGCAGGCTTCCTGCTCCAGCATTTCAGAACAGATAAGTGTAGTGAGGTGGGCTACTCTGGAATGATTTAATCATACCGATTGTAACTAGTGGCCATGTGTAAACAGAACAAAGTTACTTGTCATTTCCTGTTGCTTACTTGTTGTATTTAAGTAGACTCCAAAGTCCCTGTTTGAACTGAACTTCCGCCTTTTTAATAGATGGAGGGTAAAACTTAACCCTAAAAACTTAACTAATAATTAATAACTTTAGTCTAAAGTGGAAAAAAGCAGGTTCATCGTTTTAGTTCATTTGTCTATCCCGTCCTGTCTTCACAGATCGGGTGCATCTTATAAAACCTATCACTTATCTCAATTTTTGTTACTTAGAGCAATTTATCTCTTTTATGGAAAAAAGAAAAAAAAAAGTGGGCTTAAGTGTTTGATATTCTTCTCTTTTGCTGGAGTTAACAACTCTTTAGTATTCAAGCCGAGAAACTGCTTCCTCCGATGTTTTGTCCCCCCTAAACAATGAAACTAACCACAAGGAAGTGGATGAGTAAGGTGAAGAGGATTTCTAGTCACAAATGTTCACTTTTTTTCCCCTTCTTTTGTTATTTTTTTCTGACTCACTTTTAACACGAAATGACAGCTAACGGACAAAAAATGGAGTTAGAATGGATGCCTTAAAGAATAAAATTGTGCACTAGGTGTGCAAAACTCTAAACATGAAAAAGGGTGTGAAAAAACAATGTTGAAATGCCATGTTGGAAATAAAAAATAACAACGGCTAATTCGTCAGGTCGGATGTCAATTTTATCCGCTAACTATTAGCCAACGTGTGACCCGATGACTTTCCTGCCTGGGTGGATGGATGAATGAATGGATAGAGACGGCATGTATCGATGAATGGATGGATGGAGGATGAATACGGGATTAATATGTAATGGATGGATAAGTAGACAGGTAGCATGTGATTGAACCAGATAGTGTTCCCTGGCGCCTTGGCGTAGAAAGACAAAGTTGATGCACCCAATCGCATCTTTTTTCCTCCACTTTCTGAGCAGTATAACCGGGATGTAGGTCACCTTTTGTGAAACAAAGGAGCACAAACACCTGCTCTGTACTGGCCACTGCCTGGTCTCACACATTGCCATAGGTCTTGAGATTTCACACTCTTTAGGGCCTTCCCCAACCGCCCTTTCTTACACGAGCGACCAGGGTGATTGACGAAAGCAGTTCACACCGCCCTGTGGACAGGAGGACTCAGCAAAAGAATGAATGTCGGCGCCGCCACGTGTGTGGCCACTTTTATCACCTGTCCAGTCCTCAAAATGTATCAGACAGAAAAAGTGAGGCAATGGTGGGAATTTAGACAAAGAGAAGGTTTATATTGGGATGAAGGGAATGGTCTGAAATCCGTCACTTCAGGAGTGCCGCACCGCTCCAAGGTACATAAAAGAGAAATTTGTGGAATTTGAGTTACTCCAGGAGAGGTTATAAGGTATTCTGTCTAACTTACCTCCTCGTTATTCATTTATAAGCCTGCCTAACTTCTTTATAGTGTTTATCCGTTCTACAGAGAAGAGAGGACAAATTTTAGCTATTTGATAGCTGAGTCACATATGTGTGACGCCGCAGTCATCTTGCCCGAGTTTGGAATCACACGTAGGTGAAATGTGGGTGTGTCCCTTTTTTCCATCTTTCTATGTATCAGCCCAACTAGGTCCTTTGTCAACATACCACCTCACTTCACTGACCATCATGTTACTAAGCGCCTAGAAGGCAAACTAACTTTTCCAACTGTCCATCCAAGATTTCCCCACCCCCTTCTCCTCTTCCTTACAATCCAAAATTGTCTTTAATTAACGTCACTCCAGGCTTTCAATTGATCAAGTAGTTTTGGAGAGACTATCCTTCATGGAGGAGTCTTTCCAGTTGCCTTTTTTACTTCAGAGGCGGACCGAAGGATATTTTTGGCAAAATCGGGCTTCTCATCCAGGATTACTCTCTATGTGTGAATATTTCACAAGCAAGGGGTCTAATTAATTTTTTTGTATTAAAAAGGATAGAAAATAAGGAAAGATTGTCCCCCTAGAGGAAATACCCACATCAGGTAGATGAAAGCGCCTTTCCACCTATTCATCTCTTCCCGTAAGTGTAGTTTTGCGGTAGCCACGTCACAGCTAAAATGCCCCATAGTTTCTTGAGGAGGAAGGCAGCAGATTAAAGTTTTTTTTTAAAAAATCAAGATTTGCGACGGTGTTACAAACCACCCTTTTCCTCGTATCCTAAATCTTGGACCCTCCATCGGCTGAAATCGTTCGTTAGAAGACCATCAAGCTCCGAGGTGCATTAACTTTGGGAAGCTCTCCACATGTTCGCAGTAAATCTGGCCACATTGAGAAGTTGCTTTTAATTCCACGTTATTAGTTTGAGAATGCGGAAAACAGAAGCACCGCTTGGTTGCTTTAAAAGCCCCTCTAGTCGATGTAGAATGGCCTTGGGCTAATGGAGGTCAAATACGATCGGCAGACGTTGAAAGATACTTACCAAGGTGGAGAAAAGTAATTGGAGCTTGGACACCCCCATCAGCATGTCTAAACACGGCGCCTCGGGGGATTGGCCCATCTAAAGACGGCTTAACAACAGGCGAAGTGGGGTCAGTACTTAGTCAGGGTAAAGGGGGAGGTGAGGAAAGGACCAAAACACCACCGTAATACGATGACGACAAAAATAAGGATCTGAACAGCTTGATGCGTTTTTTTACAAACCAAAGAAGAGGGATAGAGAAGAGTATTGCTGATTTTACAGATTGACTTAAACTTTAACAGAAGAGGAGGTCAAGTACAAGGTCAAAAGAGAGCTTAACCCCCAAATTTTTATGGATAGACAGGTGATAGGTAAATAACTAGCTAAATGGATAGATGGAAAATAAGTGAAGCGGATGCGTCTCCTGCTACATGGAGCGTAGACCTTTAATTTTACGAACTCCATAAAATTTGATGCTCTTGGTTTACTTACATTGACTGCACGATTCGAGTGTTGCGTACGGGGTCAAGGAGAAAATTTATGCGAGGTTACAATTTACCCTCTCCCTCTCTCTCTCTCTTTTCCACCACCACCATCCTCACCCCTACTTTTGCCCACCCTCTTCCCACTCTTTTCCCTTTCACCGCAAATTAAATTCACTTGCTTCTGTTGCTGAGGTGATGGAGTGTGAAACAGCAGTGCATAAACTTGACGGAAGGAATCACATTTATGGGGAGATTTGAATGAGGCAATAAAATTAATGAGATTGTTTTCCTCCATATTTCTTTAAATCGGCGGCTGATTTAAAATTTGTGGTTTTTGTGATTAGGAAAAAGAAAATTTGCTTTAGATGACGCGATATGTAGAGGGATTAAAGGGGTTGGTGTCTCCTCAGGGCTTCTGTCCACGTCGTCCTGTACTACCTCGATGGATGTTGGAACACTGTGGAACTCTGTCAAGCAGAAGTGGCAGTTGTGAGGGAGAAATTGCCCCTTCTCTGTGGACATCTGCTTCATTTGCAATTAGGCCTTGCATAAGCTATTGCTATGAGACCGGACTGAAGAGGGACCTCGGAGGAAAGAACTGGTCTGATCGGACTTTCCGAACATCATATTCTATGTTTAGGTAAGAATTCAGTTAAGGAGATGGCGCTACAACTTGATTCGCTTCTCACTAAGGGAGCGGGACTATGGTCTTCCTGACCATTGTAGTAAAATAAATCGGTCCTTGGCATCACGTGAGGCTCGTTGGGGTATTTTCCAACAGTGGACCTCATTTTACTCCTCCCACTCACATCAGATATCTCCCTTTTGTAGTAATTGGGTCTGTTAACCAATTCACGAACTTGGAAGGATTTCCCAGCTCTTCTCCTTAAATCACCGTCGTGGGAGAGTTGGAGGGTGTACAGGCATAGTTGGAGTACCATATTGTCAAGCAAAGGTTGAAGAGCCCCCGTAACTTGATAGATAGAGCACATTTCATTTCCAAAACCCAGACGGGTGTTAACTCCGTAAATTTTACTAAATGTCACTTCACTACCACCTTTAATGCTGTTTTCACGGCCTGTTGAAAC